AGGAGGGCTTTCTCTCGTCCCAGGACCTTCGCAGGTGCGGCTGGTGAGGATTTGAGAGAGAGTCTTCTCCATGTCTGTAGAACTCCTTCCCACAAGACGGCCATTTGCTCCATTTGCTACTTTCTTGCCACTGGCATGTGAAGATGTTTTTACTTAAGGAAGTATTTAGTGGCAGCAAATAGTTTTTAGTGGGAAGGGTGCACAGTGTGCTTTTTTTCCACCTTGTTTTAAATGCCTGTTAATGCTGTTTTAACTTTTTAAAAATTAGTTTGATCGTATTTTTTATTTTTTTATTTTTTTATAAAAACACATTTTCAAAAGCTATAAAACATAGACATAAACAACCATCATACGTCATACAACAAAACAGACATAGAATTTAAACACCTTATAAACATCCAAATAACTACAATTGCCTATACAGTGGTCACTCCACACTCGCTAGGGTTAGGGACACAGGACTCCTGTGAAAGTGGAAAAACTGCAAATAAGAAAAACACTATGTTTTGACCTGAGAGAACCCCTCTCTAGGAATCTCTAGGTCCTCTAGTGCAACTCTGTGGTCAACATCTGGCAGACATTGACCCTAGAATTGTGCAGGAGGAGCTACAAATGCCTAGTCGAAGGCTCTCTCTAGGTCCTTCAGTGCAACTTTTGGTTAAAGTTGATTTGACCATAGAGTTGCAGTGGAGGACCTACGGTAGATATTCCTAGAGAGAACATAGTAATACAATCCGTGAATAATCAAATCCGCAAAAGTCGAATCCACAAATGTGGAGGGACAACTGAAACATTACTTCCTACTCCTTCCAATGAATTTCTGAAATTTGATACTCATGTTTCCTCAATTTCTAGATATGCATTAATTCCATCATGCCATTACAGTGTGATTATAATACAGTGTGATCGCATTTTAGCCTTTATATTATGAGTTTTTTAAAATTGTATTGTTTTTAAGGAACCCTGCACTGGGAGAGAGGCAGGATAAAAATTACAGTAATTATACAAATATAAATAACTACAATATCATTTTAAATATTTCTCAGTGATTTTAATGTGTTACTTTTTAAACATTTCGATATATATATTCTTATGTTTTCAGAGGAAAAAAAGAATTGCATTTCAGAAACACGCTGGACGTAATAGAGAATAATTCAGAAATTGTTTCTTTCTTTCTCTTTTCGTTCCTTTTGGCTGTCAAGTGTCTTTTGTTATTTTTGTGCCTTCTAAGAAATGTACTCTAGAATCACTGCAAAAGCTCTAGGGACTTTTGGCTGCAGGTTGAACTTGGTATTCAGAAGAAGCTGCAAGCAGGAAAGGAAGCAGAAGTAGGGGCTGCTTCCTTTTCTCACACATATTTACAATGCTCATAATTCTCATAATTGTGACTGTGTGTTTACCCATATGTCCCAATACAGTGGACATTTCGCTACCAGCAGAGATGCATCCAGCTATTTGTCTGTAGCTGGAGGTGCTGCAAGGACATAATCTGCAGGGGCCTCCCAGGGACCTCAGGGTTTTATTTTGGGAAATCCTTGCAGATTACATCCTTGCAACATGTCCAGTGACAGGAAAATAGCAGGATGCATCTCTTCTGATTTTGGTGGTCGGTAAAGAATCCCAACCTCAGCAGTGATGCAAATAGGCTTAGGTCCAGACTATATGAGAGACCCCATCTCCCCATATAAACCTGCCAAAGTCTTAAGATCTTCAGGGGAAGGCTTTCCCTTGATCCCACCACCATCCCAGGCTTGCTTGGTGAGGACAAGAGAGAGCCTTCTCAGTGGTTGCTCCCATCATCTGGAACTCCCTTCCACAGCAGGCTATAGCAATAGCAACAGCAATAGCAAGGACATTTCTATACCGCTTATCAGTGGACTAGCACTCCCTAAGCAGATTACAATGTGTAAGCCAATTGCCCCCAACAAGCTGGGTACTCATTTTACCGACCTACGAAAGGATGGAAGGCTGAGCCCTGAGATTGAACTCACAACCTTGTGGCTGCAAGACTGGCATTTAACCGGTGTGCGACTAGGGCTCCTTATAGGCTAGATGGTCCCTTCCCTGCTTGCCATTTGCCGGCAAGCAACAACATTTTTATTTAGGCAGGTTTTTTAACATAATAATCATGACAGGGTGGGGGTTTTTATGGGTATGCGTGTTTTAGTTAAGTTTTAATTTTTGTATGTTTTTATTCTGATTTTTACTGTTTTAATTTGATGATTTTTAACTTTTTAAATTCTTATCAGACATTTTTAGCATGTTTTTATCTTGTGAGATGCCTTGTTATCGTAAAGTAATAATTATCACCCGGAAATTATTATGGTACAGCGCACCTGCACCTTATGTGTGCTTGCCATCCATGGCTTTAAGCTTATGCAGACGGCAGGCCCTGCATGTTTTAATGGTGTGTGTGGCACACCCATAGCACCATGCGCAGGAGCACATGACCATTAACAACAATTGGACTTCAAGTCCCACTTTTTTTGCATACCTGGGGGGGTGGGGTCTGGAACGGATCCTCTGCATATACAACAAGCCCACTGTATATTGATCAAATTTTGCCAGCGTCATCATCACCAAGTGACTTTTTCTTTTCCCCAATGAAAAATCCATTGCAGGGTCACCGATTTGACAACACAGATGATGTCATTCATGAAGTGGAAGAGTCATTTGACAACTACAAATCAAAATAAACTTTCTGTCAATTTTTTTAAAAGGTGAGAACTAAAACTTTACAATACCTCCTTGTACGGTTTCCATTTGTCCCTGAAAACCTGGAATATTCCAAATTGAAGGGATCAAAAAAATGTCCCAGCCAGCTGGGTGAGTTGAAGCAATAAATCCCAGATCTCTCCTTGGTCATAGGCCAAATAGTTTGCTTGATAGGTTAAAATGTGGCAGTGGCGATGAACCAGGAAGCCGTGCAAAAAGACTGGCACTGGTGGGGGCCTCATCCTGGCCCCCGATTGCTATTTCATGTTGCCACTTTATTCTTCCATTCCTTCCCCCTTTCCCCTGACAGGCCCAGAAAACTTTGGTTTCTCATTTTCCCCTCGAGAGGCTACAACAGGAATGATTAACAAACTGTGGTTTATACATTGGTATCCCTTGATATCTGCTAGGGTTTGGTTCCAGGACCCCCATGGATACCAAAATCTGTCGATGCTGAAGTCCCCTTAAGCACAATGGCAAAGCAAAATGGCATCCCTTAGATAAAATGGCAAAATCAAGGTTTGCTTTTGGAATGTGTATGCGTTTTCAAGCTGTGGATAGTTGAATCTGTGGATAAAAAGGTGTGGATATAGAGGGCTGACTGTACAGTCAGGGGAAAGGTACAAGGCACCCTGGCGGAGTCTGGAATGAGTCTCAACATACTGCAAATAGTTTGATTCATATTGGCTTGCATTCCTTGGTCGTAGCAAAGTATGACAGAACCTTAAGAGCTGGCATTGAGATATCTCAAGTTGTTGTGCACTTGTACAAAATATTATTTTATCACTTTATTTTTTAGATGTCTACCACTGAGGGGGAAAAGACGATGAAGATCAGAACAGGAGCACAATCTCCGCAAGTGCCAGTGCACTATCCCATCATTTTCTAGAGGTTGGCTTTTGCAAACATAACCTTCCATTGATACAGGGGTTGGAATGGAGTAGTCCTCCTGGGTTTTTTTGGGCCGCAACTCTCACCATTCCTTGTCAATGTCCATGCTAGCTAGAACTGCTGGGCAATGCAGTCCAGTCCCTAGAAGGCTGCATGATCCCCATCCCTGTTTAAGGGAAAGTTTTTCCCCTCATTTGCAGAAGGGATTAAGATCCAGGGAGGGCTGCTCCCAGGAGGAAGAGGGAAACCCCTTCTTGCTATTTTCCCATCCTGCTGCAATTTCCCTATACTGACTTCTTTCAAGCATATGTTTAAATGTGACTCCTTTAGGTTTTTAATCTATTTTTAGAGGGGATATTCTATAATGTAGACATATTTTTGGAGTGGTGGGTGGTGGGATAATACTATTTAAATATATCCCCTAAACAGATTCAGTTTTAGTTAACTTTTCTAGTGTAGGCTATTATTCATTACCAAAAATAAATAAATAAATGCAAAAGAAATCAGCTGTGAGTTCAAAACCGCAAGGCTCCAGGCTGACTCAGCCTTCCATCTTTTCGTAGGTTGGTAAAATAAGTACCCAGCTTGTTGGGGGCAATTGACTAAAAACATTGTAAGCCACTTAGGAGTTTATCACATGGGAAGGATCCAGTGCAGAAACCGGATTTAAAGTGAAGTTTTACGTTTTTCACATGACGTCAGTGTCAAAGAGAAATAACGCAACATTAATCCGAATGGAAAATCGCCGTTTCTGCATAGGATTTAAGCAATTTGCCTCCATATGATAAACTCCTTAGAGAGTGCTGTGATCACTATGAAGCAGTATAGAAATGTAAATGCTACTGCTATTGCTGCAACCCCTTGTGCTGAATTCACTTTCGAAAGGCTTTCTCAACCACACATTAGGCAAATAAGTCTTTTTTCCCCTGATGTTTATAGCTTTCTTTACAACCCTCAGCTTAATCTGGTCCTGGGCTCTCCTTTTGTTCCTCTCCCAGTTGATTCTGTTCCCCTGAGCACTTTTCTCCAATATCACAATTAGTATCCATAGTGGTTGTGGTGTGGAGATCAGGGTTCAAAACCCTGCTAAGCCATGAAAACCAATGGATGGCCTTGGGCAAATCACACTCTCTCAACCTCAGGGGAAGACAATGACAAACCTTCTCTGAACAAATCCTGCCACGAAAACCCCATGATAGCTTCACCTTAGGGTTGCCATATGTCCGAAATGACTTGAAGGCACACAACGACAACACCAAATAGAGAAGGAGGGAAGGAGCAGCAAACTCAGGAGGAATACGGTCGAAAATGACTTGAGGGCACACAACAGCAACAACAACAACAACAGAAGCACATTCCTCCCTGGTATCCATGTGATAACCCTAAAGCTGAGAGCCATGGTGGTGTAGTTTGAGTGTTGGACTCCAACTCTGGAAACCAGGGTTCAATTCCCAGCTCTGCCATGAAACCCACTGGGTGACCTTGGGCAAGTCACACTTTCTCAGCCTCAGGGGATGGCCATGGCAAACTTTCTCTGAACAAATCTTGCCAAGAAAATCCCATGATAGATTCAACTTAGGGTTGCCATACATCAGAAATGACTTGACGACATCCAATGATTATATCAAATAGAGGAAAGGGGTAGAAGGAGCAGCAAACTCAGGACGAATAAGGTGTGGACAACCTGAATACTACCCTCCCGGGTGCTCTTGAGCAAGTCCAGCTGATGTGAGTCTTTCTGAGGCTGTTATGGGAAGGATCCATTCAAAAAGCCAGTTGATTTCCTCCAGTCAACAAATGGCCATTTGGTGTCATTTACACTTTGCTACTGGGAGGGGTCCATTTTATACATTCAGAACCCTCCTAAGTATCAGTTTTCAGGAATACCCATTGGACATCCTGTCTTTTTCTTGCAAAGATGCAGGGGTAGCAAATGCTCTGCTCTCCTTCCTCTTTTGATGATCCACACGGACACACGTAGAGCCAACATGGCATAGTGGTTTGAACATTGGACTATGGATCTGGAGACCTGATTTTGAGTCCCTGCTTGGTCCTGGAAACATATTGGGGCTACGTCTGTGCTGCAGAAATAATCCAGGTTGACACCACTTTAACTGCCATGGCTCAATGCTATGAAATTCTGGGAACTGTAGTTTGGTGGGGCGCCAGAGCTCTCCGATAGAGAAGGCTAAATGTCATCCAAAGCTTCAATTCCCACAATTAACAGTTAAAGTGGTGTCAACCTGGATTATTCTGTAGGGTAGACACAGCCTGGGTGACCCTATGCAAGTACACTCTCTCAGCCCCAGAGGATGGCAATGGCAAACCTCCTTCGAAGAAACATGCCAAGAAAACCCCATGATGGGTTCACTTTAGAGTTGCCATAAGTCAGAAATGACTTCATCAACAACAACATGGACACTCTTAAGGCTATACAATGATAGATTAATTCTCTTGAGCTCTTAACAAGATGGCAAAAATGATTGAACGTTTTCTGAATGGTATGTGAAAATGTTCAAAAATTCAAAGGCAGGCAGTATCTTTATGAGGCTTAGCAAGAAGCACATTGCCCCCTGGTGTTCAAAAATTATTTCATGGGATGAAGAACCCTAAAGACAAGTACTGTGGTTTGAATATTAGATTACGGCAGGGGTAGGCAACCTTTCCCCTTTA